AAAGAAAAGAAAAGAAGGAACGTAGGAAAAATAAACCTGAATATCCCTCGTCCGTTGAAAATCAAAATTTCCTCCATTTCATATTTTCGCGCGAAATTTCTTCAATTTATATTATTATCCTCTTCCCCTCCCTTCCCTCTTTATTAACTTACACGCCCAAACATTAGCCAGCCAACTGACAAATTTTACGATCCCGTCATACGCATTCCCCATTCGTATGCCGTCGTACCATCTGTTCTCGGCCGATATCCGCGTGTTTCGCGCGCCGTTATTTTCGCCCGTTCATTACACGAGTTTTCAAACGAGCCCCGCCGGATCGGATCGAAACGCGCACGGATCGAGAAGAAGAAGAAGAAGAAGAAGAAGAAGGGGGAAGGAGGAGGACGTATTTTTCTGCTTCAATGCGATGTTGGGGCCCCCCGATAATTGCGATACAACGGCGGCACGATACCGAGAAACCGCTTTTCAATCACGAGGTCCGAGGCGCGAGAAACATTTTCGACGATGCGAAATTACACGTTTCGAACTGGTTCCGACTACGGCGCGCGAACACGCGACCGGATCGGGGCGTCGTCGACGCGCCAATAAAAACGACTACTAACCTTCTTCTCTCGTTCGGGGCACGGGTGGGGGAAGGAGAAACGATCAAAGCGGGATCTGTTTACTCTAACGCGTGGAATTCTTGGGAACACGGGGCATATAATATACGGGCGTTTTAACGGGAAATCGCGATTGAGAAACGGAGAAACGGCCATTCGCGGTGACAGATAAACCCGCGTCGAGGATTCGATTGAATTTCGAATTTGTAGTTCGTTAGCTTATTTAAATATTTAGTGTTGAAATAATACAATTTTTTAATATCGTTCGTTGTCTTTAGCGAAATATTCTTTAAATTTTGAAAACAAAATTTCTATTTAGGAATAGATTTGGCATTGGACGAATTTTAAATCTTAATCTTTTGTCTTCGAATCGAGTTTTAAAAATTGATATCGTGACGCGTGATTTTTTTGTACATTAATTAGGAGCCGTATTAAATTTTATATTCGAGTTTAATTGGTGATAAATTTTATCCCGAACGTTTATATATTCATCAGAGCGCACGTTGGTGGCCAAATAATGACAGTCGTTTGTCTCTGAGAAAAGCGTCAGTTACCATCGTGATCGTTTACTGGCCGGAGAGAGAGAGAGAGATCTTAAATTCACGAGCTCCGTCTGAGTACACAAACACCGTTCGAGGGTTCGAGGGTTTTAATTATTTAGAAGTGTCATGGGGTTAATTATAACGCGGTGGAATCGCTTCGTGGAATTGCCGTTCAGGATGGTGAGAGACGTTTGTGCCGAAAGTGTGTTTAAAGAGAAAGAAGTGTTATTGTTACGGTGACGAAGATGTTTCTTTTAATTCTTCTCTTCTCTTTTTAATCTCCTCTCAAATAAATTTCATTCCTTTTCGCAGAAAATACGTTACTTTTTTTTCGATGATTAATTCATCGTTGTTTCATTATTGTTCTGTAACGAAAAAAAAAAAAAAAAAAAAAAAATAAAAGATTCATTCATTCGATTCGATTGAAAAGTATTTCCAAGGAAAATTATATTATCCCTTCAAAATAATTGTATCATTCATATCCTTCCTTCCTAATAATTAAACTGTAAACTTGAAATTTATTAAACGTTTGAATTTATTAAAAGTTTACTCGAAGAAGTTTACACGTTTATTCTTATCGCCCATTTCCCAAAAAAACTTCCTCACAAAATACGCGATACGATTCATCGTCGTGAAAAATTTATATTCGTTCTTGGAATCCACAGTTGATACGATACGATACGGCAATAAAAGAAGCGGACAGCAGCGATATCTAAAACCGAACTCTCGGCTTTCTCGATGAAAATATTTATATCCGTTCTTCGTTTCGTTATCGTCTATGGAAGAAGAAAGTAAGGGGAAGGGGGAGCGCGGCGGCGACAGGTTTTTCGCCACTTCCTAATTCGCTCGGCGAACTTTCCCCGTAAATAAATTTTTAACGAGATACACGCACGGTATTTCCGGGCATAAGTCGGCCGGCCTCGCACGAGTTTTACGACTCGACGGCTGCTTATTCCCGGTAATTAACCGCTCTACATGGAGCCACTTGTTCCCGGGAGTTGAAGCGACCACCGCCTCAACACCGTTTTTGTCCTATGAAATTTCTTCGTCGCCGCTTTTTTTCCCTTTCTTCCCTTAATAACCCTCGCGCGATACTCGTCGGTCAGCCGCGATTTTACAACGAAACCCTTTCAACGTAATCGTTCTTACCTCGCCTCCAGCCCCGATACCACGAATTTTTCACGAATTTATGATTCCTCTCTTCTTCTTCTTCTTCTTCTTCTGCTTTTTTTCCTCCTTGCCTCTCCCGTGCATGCGTGCAATATTCGCGAATTTCGACCAATAAACTTGATCGCGTTCAAGTATATTATTTTTAAAGAAGAGATATTTTTGTTCGAGAAGAAAGAAACGTGATACGTTACGCAAGTTTTGAAAAGACCATTAAGCAAATGGAGCGGGAGACAAGTTGAAGCCGAGCGGCGCGAGATTGATTGTTTAAACGGGAGAGAGAAGAAGGGAGGAGAAGGTGTTTAAGAGAGTGATTAGAGGAAAGGCTTGTCGCGGAAGAGTGACAGGAGGAAAGAAAACACTGGGACGAGAAGATTACGAGGACACATACGGAAGAAACAGTCAAGCCAAGTCTTCGAGGGTAATTCAAGTGTGATTATAGTAAAAATAAAGCGTGAGATCGGACAGACCACTTGTGTCCCTGCCTGTCGTGACTCGACCCATAACCCCCTCTACTTCCACTCCTTCCTCGGCTTCTCTTACTTTAATCTTTGATCTTAAAGTTTCCGTGGTTGGGCCAATTCAAGCCTATTCTTTTTCCAAAATTCACTTATAAAAAATATGTGGACAACGAATCGAACGACGATTTTCTCAAACGATTACGATCATTTACACGCCGATATCTTACCCATCGCCCCTTAGGATCCCCCTCGCAGGAACAACGAAGGGACTGTTGACGATCGGTGGTGGGTCGAGTTCGATCCCCCTATTTATAGACATCCTGGAAAAGAGCAGGATGAAACGAGAAAAGAGGAGGAGGAGGAGGAAGAAGAAGAAGAAGAAGAAGAAGAAGAAGAAGAAGTAGTACTAGTAAGTTATGCGACGTTTGGCCCGCCCCAGCCACTCATTCGGCGACCATAACTCTCCCGGAGTGACAGCTCCGAACGGAAGGGTGTGTTGCCTCCCTCCGCCCGCGAGAACAGGGAAATTGAATGCCTTCTCGCAACCCCTCCTCGAGACTTCTCTCCTCCCTGCACCACCGCCATCTGCTCCTCCTCCTCC